GTTCCAGCCAGCGAAAGTCGCCACCAATCAATGACTTTATCTAGATATTTAAATATAAATTCGATAATAACGGATACTTAAGTAAGTTTAAGGTATATATATATATTCGAGAAGACTTATAACTTATTTTTAAAGATATTTATATAGCTACTCTTACTTTTAGTATCTTTTATATTATTATAGCTATTACGGCCGCTTACGACCTAGATCTTATATAACTTAATACTATTAATATATTCCTTAATAGTAAAATCGATAAGAAAATCTATATATATTTTCTAGAAGATTTTAAAGTACTAGATATAATACTTTATTTACTTAAGGTACTCTACGGGCTTAAGTAAAGCTCTTTATTATAGTATAATACTCTTAGTAATACTCTTAAGGTACTAGATCTTTCTTAAGTACTAGAAGTTAATTATATCCTTAATAACGAGTTTTTTATTATTTTATTCTATATAGATAATATTATTCTATACTATAAGCGTAAGTCTAAGAAGAGAGTTAATATAATTTTATAAAGTCTTTAATAGCGTTTTACTCTACGTATTATACTAAAAGTTAACTAGTTTCTTAATATACGAATTATACGAGATTAAAAGCTATATAAGTTATAGCTTATATAGAATTTATATATTAATAAACTATTAATTAAGTTTAACGTTAATATATACGGTAGAAAGATATTATTAATATCTCTCTTAACTAAAAGTCTTATACTATATAATAGCTAGGCTACTCTATAAGAGATATACGTATACTAATAGCGTATAGGGTCTATTAATTTCGCGGCTATAACGACGAGATCGAATATCGTAAGGGCTTACTCTATACTCTTATAATACTTACGTAATCTATTACTAGAATATATAGCTACCGCTAATAGAGTACTAGGCTACTTAAAGCGTATATATACTCTTACTCTTAAATACTCTACCGTTACTCCTTCTAAAATAACTCCTTAAAATAATAATAAATATAAGAGCGTTAATACCTTTAAGGTATACTTAGACGTAGTATTTACTAATAATACTAGCTAGAAGAGTTCCGACGACTATCTCTTTATTCTATTCGAAGGCTCTATTAACTAGAAAGTCTCTCGATAGAATATAATAATAACTTTAAGTATAGAGATAGAATTACTCGCTCTATCTCGTATAGCTAAGGAAGTACTCTAGTAGAGTTACTTCTTTAACTCGATATACCTAAAACTTAATTAATCGCTTACTATTAAAGCTAATAATATATAAACTATTCGTTTACTAACTAAGAATAACTTTTAACTATCTACGAAGTTAAAATATATTAATATATATAAATATTAGTTAAGATAGAAGATATAAGCTAGTAAAATATAGATAGAATAGATTATAATTACTAATATAAAAGTAGATAGCTTTACGAAAGTACTAATAATATAGAATTATAAGCGATTCGTCTATATATATCTTCGTCTAGTCGATATATAGACTATACTCGACGGTAAAGTAACGAATATAGTCTAAAGAGGGTATATTATATATAGTCGGCTTCGATACCCTACTACTAAGGAATACTTATATTAGCTATACTTTCTAAATCTCGCTACTAACCCTAAATAACGCTCGATAACGACGTTAACGACGAGATTTAATACTCTCTAGAATAATCTATAGATCGTACGAGATACGGTGTTCTCTCCGATTTCTATAGTATATATAGGAGTACTCTGTATACTGTAAAGTGGATAGAGCGAGAGCAAATACAACATTTTTTTAGCGCACCTGCCAACACTAGGTTACTTACCTAGTAACTTTTACGCAGGGATAGTAAAGGGGTATACGTATAATACTCTCGAGTAGAACACTTGATAATAGAACTTTATACGCGATTATGTACATTACTATACTACATGTGTTGTTAGGAGGAAGCGGGCTTTCAGCATTTCGCCTCTCCTGAGGAAGCACGTTCCAGCCAGCGAAAGTCGCCACCAATCAATGAC